TACACAAAACACTCAACTTCAGGATGTTTTACAGAATGACTGGCTCAAACCTCTCCAGCTTCAACTTATTTCACCTTCCCTTTACACTCATACCTTTTTCCCCAAAAGTCTGCATAAGGATCGACCCTATGCCTTCTGATTCTGAGCCTTTACCCGTTTCCTCCCCTTGATCCCTCTCATTTGGCATTCCCCCCAAATCTCTCTTTGCTCTTTGTCTTGAAATAGCAGAGGCATGCAAATCAATTCTGTCTGTACAGAGTTCGTCGCTTGTAATGCAAACCAGTAGTTTCATACCCTTTTAAGACTTCTACAGATAGAGGTCTGCAAGGGCAACCTAATTGCAGAATATCAACCTTAACTTAAATATGCAATAATCTGATACTAGGTGCATTACAAACACCTTATGAGAGACATCACAGAAATCAGAACTTCATCCTGCACGTACGTATCGCTGCATTTGGGCATAAAACTCCCCAGGAACATGGTCTACAGCTGTCAAGAACTTGCCACGGTTTAAGAAAACCACAGCACAAAGTGAGTTCATATCGGAGCATTCTATGGACTATTCCGGTATTTCACACAGGAGAATGAATGTCCAATCTAACGTGTGAATTTTGACCAATTTCTATTCTCTGACAGATGTGTTCCTCCTCAAGTCACTTTTCTCCTTCCAAATTACCCTCCAGTCATCTCCTCTTCCACTCCCTAGACCTGTCATTTGGTGAGCACACACCCAGAAGATACAACCTCCCAACAGCGTAACCTTTCACCCCTCAAATACAGCCTAGCCCATATCTTCCACTTCTTCTGTGTTCCCTCTAGCTGAAATAAGATCGTACCGCAGAAAACTCTGGACAAAAAAACCGCTGCAAAGACGTGTGCAAAAGCGTCTCCTTTCGCATAGCCTTCAAGACCAGAAACACACAAAACTATGCACAGACGCATCAGGTGTGCACGAGCCTGCTCCCTTCCCAGTCCCTCCCGAAGGAGCCGAGGAGGAGCAGCGAGCGGCCGCGGCACAGC